AACTTTAATTCCTAAATTTTCTTTGCATGCATATCATGTAGTTACATTCTTGCATTGGGATTTTGTGGGTAGATCCACTGCAAACCCTCACGAGACACAACTCGTCCATTAGGGTGATTTAGGGGTTTAAAGGCTTGTTGTACATGCTAAGTGCAATCGTGATTCCTACGAAAGTGAGTTAGGTTTTACTTTGTTTCTTTTATCTTTTTATTTTACTCGAGGACGAGTAAAACTTAAGTTTGAGGGAATTTGATGAGCTAAATTTATATACATATTAATAGGAAATTTTTACTTTGATATTATTGATATTTGGATGAGTTTTATGGGATTTTGTTTGATTTTACATGGTTTTCATTCTTTGTGTAGGAAAGGATTTAATTAGAAGAAATCCTACTTTTTAGAAGTAAATTGAAGAGATTAGAGACTTGAGGATCAACTTGTGCAGAATTTAGAAGTCAGGAACCAAATCTGCTATTTTACCATTGAAGAAATTGCAAAAGAAGACTAGAAACCCGACACGGGTGTAGTGTCGACACGTAACCGAGGTGTCGACACCATGCTTTAAACGTCTAGAATCAGATTCTGTTTCCTATTTTGTGTCAACACGTAATCCGAAGTGTAAGCACCACACGATCAGCATCCAAAATTCAGTTTCCTATTTCTGTTCCAAGTCCTACTTCTATTTCAATTAGGGTTTCTAAAATCCTATAAATACCTATTCAAATTCAGAATCAAGGAGTTTTGAGAGGCTAGTGGCAGCTCTCTTTTGGGCATTATTGGAGATCAATACTGAGGTTCCATCAACAATAGAAGATTAAGGAGTTCGATTTCCTCAAATTGGGTTTTGTTTTTCCTTGAGTTTTTATTTATTATTTGATATTTGAATGTTCATAACTTTGATTTCAGATTTTATTCTTTTTATTATGAACTGATTTATTCTATTAGGGTTAAGATGTAGTCTAATCAATTCAATATAGATTTAGTAATATTATACTTTCAATTAAAGTTATTTGTATGAGGAGTTTATATTATTGAACTTAATGCATTGGAAGTCTGATCACTTTTCAATTGATTTAGTGATTTATGCATGAACCTGAGAAAGAATTGCGTATATTAGACCAATAATAATATAAACCGTGTACTAGACTATGAGACCGAGAGGTAATTAGCTCACATGTGGTAGTGGAGGAAGAGAAGAGAGTTAGGAGCTCCCCCTTCTTAAGTTAAAGGTTTCCATAGAATTTAATACTCATAAGTTTGTTTAAAATTACATAAAAATATGATTAATTTAACAAATAAGTGAAGGATTAACTTGACTTGAGAAAGTTAGTTAATTAATTTAGAAAAATCCGCCATCACATGCAATAACACTCAACAATTTGGTAATGCATAATTTATATTGATTGATTATGGTGAAATCAATGCCTTAGTGCCTCCTATCTTGAGTAGATTTATTTGTTATTTTCTTTTTATTATTTTGAATTAAAGTTTTTTCCTATTTGATTGTTCAAATAAATTTAGATTAATTATTTTGGTACTTAATTAGACACAATCATCGTGGGTTCGACACTTTTCTCATCATTATATTACTTGGAGCGATTAGTACACTTGTTAGAGTGATTTTAGTGCATCAAGTGTCATGCAAAATCTCCCGAAATCTATTTCTTTTCAATGGCCGCCAACTACATATCCAACTTGCTCAAGTCTGTCAGAGTTTCGTTACAGCCAACCACTTCCACCATAACTCAGAAGAAAGCTTCCCTAGAAGAACTCCAAAAACAGTGTCATAGTTGGAATTCATGGTAGGCCTGTTTTGTTTTGTTTGTTCCCTGGGAAAAATCAGACCTTGAGCATCATTTCAAGTTGTCAAGAGAAGCAGTTGTGGCATTTTTGTGCCCTACATTTTCTTTTTCACAGGTAACCCCACCCCAGTTCCTTTGGAACCCAAAACCCACAAAAATCAAAAGGAATAAGGATGATGGTAAGTAATTTCAATGTCATGTCCCAACATAGATGATTACTACTGGAAAACAAAACCTCAAAAAAGTCTCGCAAATTCTTGACTATTTTTTCTTCTTTGATGAATGATTGTGGAGGTTTGCCCGTTTGCATCATCTATCTCCTATTGACAGCAAATTGCTATCTAATGTTTTACATAATTAAAATGAAACTAGCCTTTTTAATAACAGAATAATTTGTTTTCACACTAGAGAAAATGACAACATTTCAGAGGCAGACATATAAAGTGAATTCTTTTGACTATTTTCCTCTTCTTTGCTGAATGATTATGGAGGTTTGCCCGTTTGCATCATCCATTTCCCATTGACATCAAATTTCCATCTAATGTTTTCCATAATTAAAATGAAACTAGCCTGAAAATGACACCATTTTAGTAGTAGACTTATAAAGTGGTTAAGATAAGGAGATTATCAATTAGTTATTCACTTTTGACTATTTTTCTCTTCTTTGGTGGATGATTATGGTTTGCATCATCCATCTCCTGTTTGACATCAAATTGCTATCTAATGTTCTACATAATTAAAATGAAACTAACCTTTTTATTAATAGAATAATTTGTTTTTACACAAAAGAAAATGAAACTTTCAGAACTAGACTAATAAAGTGGTTAAGATAATGAGATTATCAGTTAGTTGGTAATCCTTATTACCAACCAACATCAACTCCCAACCGTTGCCCTGTAGTTAATTTGACAGGAAGAATAATTTAAATGTTATTTTTCCTCAACTCACCTAATGTGAAAGAAAACAAATTCACTGCTGAAGTTTCAATTAGGTGGAAATAAATTCTAAGGAAAACTCAAAGGAGAACGCCTAATTGTACGGCCTAGTTCTATTACCAAAATATCTAGAGAGAAATATGAGACCTAAGTGGTTAACATGTCATCATTTATACGCAGATTGCAAAATAAGCTAATCTGTTTTTATTTTTTTTTTAACAGCAAAAGTAATATTTATTGAAAAAAGAAGTACAATGGGTACCTCAAACCCGTAAACATCCCAACTTAAAAGGCATAAATTACATAGTTGAATATCCCTGCTGCTTGGTGTCGACACCAAAACCATGTGTCAACACCACGTCCGTGTCGGGTTTGGATGCTCAGTCCTTCCGTTTGGTGTCGACACCAAAATTACGTGTCAACACCAAGTCCGTGTCGGGATTCTGAGCTAAGCTCTCCCGTTTGGTGTCGACACCAAAATAATGTGTCGACACTGTAAGCTCTTCACTTCCTCTTCAACCTGCCTTGTATTGACTTCAAGCACATCACCGGGCTTTGTATCCAATCTGCACTAGAAAACAGCGATCCAGCCACCCTTCCACTGATCCAAAAGAATGTTCAGATCTGTACAAGGTCAAATAACCTTTCGATAGAGCTTTTTGTTTTTCTAAAAATTTGTTCATTTCTTGCTAACCATATGGTCCATGTGAGGCCAAACCAAATGGTTTCCCAGCCCTGCCTAACCCATTTGTTTTTTGAATAGAATACATGCTGAACAAAAGCCTTCCTGCACTCATTATAATTCACGTAGCTCAGTCCCCACCATTCTTGACATTTCCACCACGATTTTATTACAAAGGGGCATTCCAAGAACAAGTGGTTGGTATCTTCCAGTGCCGCCCCGCAAGCTAATCTGTTTTTAGACAGAAGCAGGAAAATGGAATTTGTATAGACTTAAAGCAGAATGTCAAAATGATGAAAAGTGTATAATGTAATTCTGCTTTGAGGTCATGGTAACTTCCAAAATGTTACATATTTTCTAAAACCAACTCTACAAGAACCCAAAAGAAGAAAAGAAAATTTCAAAACATCCAACATGAATTAACAAATTCACTTGCTTGCATCCATGAGTTGTGGGCAAGAGCATCAACAATTGGCAAGCATTTTTGAGTCTTATGAATCTTTCACCAAGACTTGATTTTGTACCCTTAAGGGTTTCTAGCACCAAAGAGTTCATCTCTGTCAAACTAAACAAAATGATTAATTGCTCCTTAGGGAATTATGTCTCAGACTCTTCTACAACAGTTGGAAGTGTGTCCTCTCTGATGAAGGCTGGGTTAAGGAACTTCGCCACAAAATCCCACAACTTATAAACATCCTCAAAATTTGTCAGGAAGCTCAGAGATGCAGTGACAACTTCAACTCGTATGAACCCACTTTTCCCATCATGTCTCCCATTTTCCATAGGTCTGCATAGGCTAGTATCATCAAGGTTCAAATATCCTCGCCGTGGGCTATCCAGAATCCGAATGTGACTGAGGAAGCCAAGGCCAAGAGAAATGCCTTCTCTTTCAGCCAACTGCTGTACAATCTCTGGGTTAATTAGCCCTTTGTTTCTGTCTCTGACATTGAAGGCCACAGCGACACCCCTTTCATATTTTATTTTGGGGCCATAGATGTGAACAAGATGCACTTTGCCATCTCCCTCAGAACTGGGAAATCTGAGTTGCAGTAACGAGGTGACAAGCCAATTGATCAAAAACCGAAGTCTGAGTGTTGTTTTATTGAGCCCCAACAAGTTAATATGATCAAGATGCCGACATATTATCTCAGGCTCCCTCCTGTCCCAGTCTTGCCCATCACCATACTCCCCATCAGTTGTGTAGTCCTCATCATCAAGGCTGGTAGCAGATACTTCTCCTGGCTCCAAAGTATGGCTCAGGCGCTCTTTTCGGCTGTCTTCCAAGGTAAAAGATACCCTTCTTCCCTGGCTTGGCTGGTCATCTTCCAAACCAAAAAATCTACCACCAGAATACCTATTCATTTCCCTCCTCCCCAACAACCTAAATTCACCTTCTGTTTCTCTTCTTATGTCACTCTCTTTAACCTCTGGGCATATTTCTGAAGTGGAGCCATTTGCTAAGCTAATATGCTGAGAGGCAAAAATAGAACTGTTGAGACGAGATCCATTTGTAGCTGAATTAGATACAGATCCCATAGGAAGTGGTCTGCTGGTACTACGTTCCTCCTCAATTTCATGAACATGTGAATGCTCTGACTCCTTTTTATTATTTTGTATGATATTTGTTCCTGCAAATTGTTCTTCGGAAACCTCCTTAACATGGTCCAGTTCTTGTGAAACTGAAAGAACAGCAGCATCAAATGATAGCACATGGCAATCATCACTAGGTTTTTGGTCTTTGTCATCATAAATTGGGCTCCCATATATCTTTGCTGATGGCTTTGGAGAGAGCTGCTTGTGGTTTTTCCTGCTGCCAAACCAAAATGGTGGTAAAGGAGAGGCAATTTTCTGTTTATTCAACTGACCTGCATTATCGGAACCCAATGGACTTTGACCCAGATCAATCCACAATGAGCTGTCCGATGACTCATCTTCACTGAAGACAGGGCTTTTCATCACTTCCCCGAGTGAAATACTCTCAGTTTCTTCAAATATTGTGCTGGTTCCATCTCTTTCAGAGCTATTTTCATGTTCCATTTCTGTTTCAAACACATCCCTCACTTGAGCAGATGAGAAAGCACCAGAAAAGGCAGGCAACTGCAATCCTGGGCGAGTTTCAGAGGGTTTATCACCATTCACTCCCACCTCATCATCTTCAATTCCAACCAATTTATCAAGACCATCTACAGAATCACTCAGATAAAGCGGATATTCAGGGGTGATCTTCACCATTCCAGACCCTGTAGAACCAGATTGATTCTGAAGACTTCCCATGACTGATTTTTTAATTAGAAGGCACCCAAAACCAGTTGGATCATACCCAAATACCTTGTAAAATGAAGTGATAATGAAATCCGGCCGAAACAAGGACAGGCCAAGTGAATCCATATCTTTGGGACCCAAGGAACCAGCATCAAGTAAGACATGCCAATTGTTCTGCTGAGCTAGTGCCATCCATTGGTATGAATACTTGGCCCCTGTGACCCTAGACTGAACAGGAAAGACAAAGAGACCAACAGCTGAATCCTTCTTCCTCCTCTTTTTATTGGAAATTTGCTTTCTCAGATCAGTGGAACAAAGCTTAATAGTTGGCCATTTAAACCAAGCACTGTAAACTTTTGCACCCTTCTCCTTAGCACTTTGAGCCATCCAATTCACAGATTGACTCTCATAATCAAACATGGTGAGCAACTTCTTATTTGTATGAAAAGGGTAGGAATTGGCTAGCAATTTAAATGCAGACCCTCTACTCACTGTGAATACAAGGCCATACTCATTCTCAGGAATGTTCAAATAATCCATTATCCTAGTCTTTATGTCATGTTCCACTGTGCCTTTCTCAGCACCACCATAAAGTACATGATTACTCAAATTAGCAGTTATTTCAGACAAGCTAAATGTACAAGACTCCCAATAGTGTGCAGACTGAACATAAGAAAAAAGCCCAAATCCACAATAATCAAGGCATACCTTAGGCGACAAATGGGCATACTCATCTGACCTCAACTGATCAATCTTCTCTGATGACTGGTACTTGGGATACATTGTAAGGAACTTGTTGAAAGCCTCATGGAGATTAGGGATGGAGTCTTCAGTCTCAAATGTCCGTTCTGCAGCAAGAGCAGTTGCCTGCAAGAATTCCCGCTGTGCATGGAGCCTTGCAAGGGATCTCGATCGGCCCAAACTTTCATCCTGATCAGGCTCCTCCATGTCCTGAGACTTGAAGAGGGACCCATCTTCAGATGCTTCTTCGAGAGCTTCCCTGAGCTTGTTTTCTTGCAGTTTACGGAGAATTGATGGGTTCTTCTTGATTTCAACGGCTACATCCGACCCATCTTTTCTCCTGCTCTTCCTGTCCAAGATCAGAGCAGCATAGTGGGATATGGGCTTCCACAGTGAAAGATACATCAAAGCAGCCCTCTTCTGTAAACAATCTTGATACAGAATACAAAAAGAACTAGCTCAAGATTCACCACAAAAATGGATTTTAGCCCATCAAATAGAGAGCAGATATTTGCCAAGGCTCCAATTTCAAACCCTAATGTCTTCAAGCAGGCAAGAAGGAATCTTTCACCAGCTCAAGAAAACCCCAAATGCAGAGAAGGGTTCCAATTAAAAGAAAAACCTCGTAAGGAATAAAAAATTGAAAAGACAACAAATCCAGAAACAATCTAGACGAAGCGGCTCCGATGAATCAGGTCCAAAAAAATTTCTGATGAAAATCCACACAAAAAGGGAGAACACAGAATTGGAAGTAAACAAGAAAGTCAAAACCCCAGTTTTTTTAGTGAACCATACACAAAGACAAGAAATTGGAAGCAACCCAAGAAAGAGAGAGAAGAAGCTAAGCTCAAACCCAAGAATCCTAAAACCCAGATCCCAAAATAAAAAAGGAACTCACTCCCCATCCCAAGAGGACACTCACAAAAACAAAGAGCAAAAGGGCTTTTAGGAAAAAACAGAGAACATAATAACATGGAGATCCTTCTTCTCCACCACCAAGATGCAAGACTCCATTAATCACCTTAACCAACTCAAAAGTAGAACTTTCTCTCTCTCTTTCTTAATTGCTCCAAAAGTAAGAGAAAGCCAATTCCACATCAAATGCTCAACTCAATCCCAGTATTGATAAGCTCATTATCTCTCTCTTTCATTGACCCTTTCTCACTCTATCTCCACAATCTTCCACAATGGGCTCATCTCATCATCAAACAGTTAGAAAGGGACATTGACTTTCACAAAATTAAGCATTGGTGCTACTACTGTGTTAGTAATTTTTTAACAATCAATATTCAATTTTTAATTCTTGAAAAAAAAAAAGATTTGATTTTTATTTACAAAATTTCCTTAATATTAATTTTTTTTTTATTGGTGGGGTCCTTTCAAACGTTTTCCAGTTTTCCTCCTCCAGCCTCATCCAAAAAGTCAAAATTTCAGCTGACTTGTAAAAGCTGTTTTCTGTCTAACCATGAAAATGCAATGTCTAATGCTCCATCCTTAACAGTTTATTTGGATAAAAGTTTGGATAAAAATTAGTAAAGAAAAAGGAAGGAAAGGGAAAAGAAAGGAGCAGAAATGAAAGGGAAAAAAGAGAGTAAATATTAATTTTGTTTAAATAGATAAAAATAGAAAAAAAAATTTATTTAATTTAATAATTTTAAAAAATAAAATAAAATATTTAAAAATTAAAAATTAATAATTAAAATAAAATATTTTATATATTTATTTTTTAAAAATATTAAAAAATATTAAATATGTAAATCAAATCTCTCTCCATCCTTTCAAATTCAAAAAATGAAAAATAAAAGAGTCAAAAGAACTTTTTACTAAACAAATAGAGCAATAAAGATATCTACCTCTCACTTGCCCCCATTTCCCCACTAAAATCCACCAATCCTAACAATCCTAACAAGGTTAAATCCATACTGCTTAAAATCTCTCAAATTTTAACTTCCCCATTAAGTTAGATTTATAAATGTCTATTGTTGCTGCCATTGCTATCATTTCTCTACAGAAAATTTTTGCTTCATTTTCCTTCATTTTGCTAAACTACATTTGACTTGTAGAATAATCTTAAACACAAGTGACAAAGTATGGGGTTTCATTTTAAAACATGCTCATTTAGACATTAGACCCAATTAAACTCCACCAAACAGCTCTTTGTTACAAACATTTGATAAGCCTCCACCACAAAAACTTCAAACTTGTATCAAAGGTGTTTAGTAAAACTTTAAAAATATTTATTTTAAAAGTAATATTATTTCTCAAAAATATAAAATTTTATTAAAATAATACTTAAAATTAATTTTTTAAATGAGTTTTAAGTAAATTTTGAAAATACTACATATTCAAGTTTTTTTAAAATTAATTAAAAACTTATTTTAAAAATTAATTTTTAAATTTTTTTGTAACAAAATTTTAAACTTATAAAAAATAAATAATACCTTTTAAGTTTTGTCAAACACTCTCGTTGTCAAATTGGATGTAAAATAGTTCTATTTGTCCTTTTTAATATCTACAAAGGAAACTACAGCCCTATTAACAAAATATAAAAATAAAACTATATTTAGTCAACTCTCAAATGAGTTATTGGTTCTATTTTGTAGAGTCTTGCTACCAGCCTTGAGGGTTTGCACCAAACCACTAAAGAATTATGATTTAGCAGTTAGAAAGCATCTAATTAAATGGGGAGTAAATTTCTATTTATAACAAGTTATTACTACAGAGTAAGTAGAAGATAGCTTTTATTTAGAAAGGCATTATTGCTGGGTCCAAAGACTCCAAACCCTTAATTTATTGCATATTAGAGGTTTAACTCCAAAAAATGATTTATAGATCAGAAGTTCATTGATCTTCATGCAAAATTTAAGCTGTTCTAACTTCTGAGAACCAAATCCTCTGTTTTTGCTGCATTAAACGATCAATTGGGCCAAGAACTTGATAAGATTTTTAATAGCATCATGCACGACACATGTCAATGACTGCACACAGTTTTAAGGTAACCACATTAAATGCGTTAGCTGTTGTGGGGCTGTTGTGTCTTTGTTAATTGAAAACGATTTCACTTGTCCAGTACAAGCAAACAAACAGAAACAGCCGTAGCCAGCATATTAGAATTCAGAGGAAGAATGTTTTTTTTTTTTTCTCTCTCTCTTTTACTAATTTCCTTATTCCAAAAACTAAAAAGGCAGAAAGATAACTGCTGCCACAGGCAAAAGCCAAAAACACCCACAATAAAAGGCCTCTTTCTTTAATTCTGTTGAACTGTTCTGCCCCTTGGTGTGCCTTGAACATCTAGATGAAGAATCAAAATCTTAGGTACCCTTTGGATTCCATTTCCTTAATGGATGGAGTGGACCAATATGCGCACAACACAAAACCTGACTCGAAAGAAAAAGGAGAACTAGAGAAGATTACAGTTTGTTTTTTTTTTTTGAATATGAGAAATTTTGGGGAATAAAAAAATATTACGACAATCCTTGTAAAGGCTTAAATTTTAACATAAATTAAAAATTTTACTACACATTATCACCCCATCTGGCACTGCTGCTACAGTTTTTTTTTTTTTTTTGGGTTGAATTTGGGAAATTGACCGAAGTTCACCACACAATCAACAAATACAAACAAAAGAAGGTTTGCAGCTCATAAACATGCTCATATTTGGAGGCTGAATATTTTTAGAATTTTTTTTTATTCAAGAGTTTTTTATCTGGCTAAGCATTAATTTTGATCTAATTAACCACAACTCTCTTGAAAATAAGTAATATCTTAAGATTTAATATTTAAATTTTAATAATTTTTATTTTCAATCATCTAATTATACCATCAAGCATAGAATTCCAACCCATGCTCTATTAATAATTCTACTGTCTTTCACATTTAGTTTTAGTGATTTGTCACTGATTTTCATGGGAACACCATCTAAGTCAATGTTTGAGTTTTTGAATTTTCTTTTCCCATTCTTCCTTTAGTATTGTAGGAATGATTGTAATATTGTTAAAAAAAAATTTAATTATAGTAGTTAAAAAGAAAGATCATCTTACAACCATGAGATAAGTATATTTTCGATTTAAACTAGCTCTTCCTTGCATCCCACACACTCCGGAACAGGTGGCAAAAGCCACTGGCCTGAATAGGTTCGTAGGTTCAACCCAAGTTCCCCTTTGCCCCCCCTTTAATTTAGGTATAAATACTGTGCAATTGCTTTCTTTCTAAATAAAAATAAAATAAAATATTAATGCCAATAAAGAACAAATTCAAAGTTTCATGTCACCCTTAGAAGAAAATTGATCCCATTTGAAGAAGAAATATTATACGAAAAGCTTATTTGGTAAGGAAAAAATGAAAACTTTAATGTAATTGTTTTGAAAGACGACTTATTTTGAAAAAGGGAAGAGGAACAAAAATGAAAAAAACCTCATAACCCAAGTTTGAACAGTGGACTGCCATGGCAGGTCAATACACATGCTTTGCAGTTGAAGTTAGATTCATGTTCAAAACATGACTTAAATTAAAAAAACCAAAATTAGGTCAACCCCATGAAGGGGATTGATTGATATAACTTGTACAACTGGGGTTTTTTTTTAAAGGAAAATTAATCTCTTTTTTTTTCTTTTGAAAATGAAAATTTTTCTCATCAACCAAGCAAAGAATACAAGAGCATGACGTGGATGGAACGTGCATTACCAAACTTTGTTATTATGGCTCAAATCCAGCCTATGATTCATGATTAATCAGCCATTAGTTGGAATTAACCGAAATACCCCTGGTCAAAACCATGACAAACAATGATCATTGGTCAAGAATGGTATAATTTTGCCATTGCTCAAATCACTGAGTTGAGAAGAGATGAACCATAGAAAAAAATGGGGAGATCCGTTTCTTAGTGCTTACTTTCTGTCACTTTGTCGATGTCCATGCTTGTTATGATTGTTTGCTGAGGAAAGATTTGGTTAAGTTGGGAGTAGGAGATTCAAGTTGATAATAAGTAGTAAAGAGGAGGGGATCATCGCTTTACTTTTATTTTTGTTGGCAATCATGCCTTCTTCTTTATGGGACTTCTTGATTCACAGTGCTTTTTCTTGTCTCTTTTCTGTAGTGATTGAATCCATGAGTGACACCTTTTGTTTTTGAAATATGGCACTTTACATGGGGGATGAGGGTATGTTATTGTTATTGCCTGTTTGAATATGGAACTTGGAAGCCAACAATAAAAAGTGCAAAAAAGTGTTGTACGATATATTGTTTTAGATTATACAACTTTAATTATTAAACAAAAGCAGATGTTTGATATTTCAGACTCAGGAAATGGATTTGTAACGCAAGAGAAACGGGCCTTAAACCCAAACCCATCGCAGAAACCCATGACAAACACTTTGTGAGAGTCTCAAACAATCTTTCCCAAAGCTACCTTCCATTAACCAACCCTCTCACACCTTGAATCAAGGTAATTTTATCGAACAGTTGGTGGGCATGCTATACAAAGACTTTTCTCGTAAACCAACAGGCCCAGCAAAAAATCAAACCACCGTGTTCCCTCTCATGCCTTTCCTCTCCAGGGGCTGAGCCCCTGCAAACTCCGTCGGCTTTGTTCCGCACCACCCTAGATCCCGCCGCATTGCCCAGCTCTTGCTGACTCAACCCCGCGTCGTCATTTCCCTTGTGCGCCCAAAGCTTTTAGGGATCATAACTCCGACGCTACTCTCCATTGCTCAGAATTCGACGATTTAAAGTAAACGGCGCTGAAATGACGACCCAAGCTGCTACCACTTTCAATGGCAACCTAAAAGGTAGTGTCTTTATTGGGCATGCTTGTTTCTTCTACCCATTGCTTCACGAGTTGAATTCTTTTGCATATCTAATTAGCCTGGACCTGGATATTTTTTTTTTGCTGTGACTCAAAAGTTGGAAGTCTTTGTAATTTGTTGCTGATAGATAATTGTTCCCATCAAATTCTCTAATGATTTGTGCTTCATAAAATGACATTTTAGATTTTCTGTGAAAATAAATTATGGATGATTGGCATCTCCTCTAGTGTTGTTTCAAATAGCAAAAGCTTTTGATCTTA